CTAGAGACATCGGCCCTGTCAAACGTTCCGCTCCGCAAAATACCCTTGAATAAAGAATTAATTCTCGCTCGCCAAAAAAAAAGAACACCCTTCAAAGAGTGTTATACTATATTGTAAATAATTATACGCCAAAGCGTGCGTTATCATTTTACTAACGAAAAAGGGTGAAATATTTTAACATTTTAAAGACAGCATGAAACATTTTTTAACCGTCTGCACAACTGCCTCATATCCGTACACCAGATGAACTCGCTGTCAAAATATCTTGCTAAGTATATTACTGAGTTCCCATACTAAATAGGAATGCAATGGCATGACATGCACCTAGATGTATGCAGAGCGACAGGACCTCAGTGTTTTACTTTCTCAAGCGGATGTTTGAAGCAAACCAGCCTGGTCTCCGAACAACTCACCGCGATTAAATTTGAATAAAACCAATCCATCGCGGAGACGAGGTCATGTGACGTCCTATGTATGATGACAGACAAGACGTAGTGTTCGCCGGATTTTCAAAGATAAATGCTTGTTTATACGAAATGAGTCGGTGTATTAGCACATTATATGAGCGACAAAATGATACACGGGAATTTAGGGCTGTGCGTGGACAAGCAATGAAATATCCCGAATGTATTTACACCGAAGAAATATGGACGAAAAAAAAAAACGCTTTTCTATTGTCTTCTTTTTTATATTTTAATTTTTAACATTAGCCGGATTTTTGGAAACGCAAACCAAACTAACCTGTTTTCTCGTGCTTAATTTTTTTTTTTTTTTTTATTTATTCTGCGAACTTAGCCTACCGTTTTGTAAAAGTACGCTAGTAAGTACTCTAATATTATTATCGTCCTGACTCTAAAGTAAAGTAAATTATTTATTTCCAAGACCGCGGGAAACGTTCCCTACGAAACAAGGACTCCATAAATCGAAAGTCGGAGACCCCAGTCTCGTAATACCCACTGCTGCTTTTATAATAAAAAACGTGTAATTACATTCGGTTAAAATATGCCGGAAACTCCATTACGACCTAGCTACATCTCAAAGAAACAGTTTGTAAACTTGACAAAGCTTGATGAGTTTCATAAGAAGAACTTATAGTAACGACAGTTTCAAAAGTAACCCTAAGCACTTTACGCCGTAGTAAACTCGGAGGGCAACGGTTCTGGTTACGGGAACCAACTTCGCGTGGGTCGCTTAAGTTATAATCATCTGGAGTAACTGCCTAAATAATTAATTGGGCGCCATTACTGAACATGTGGTAGGCAGTTTCCTTACTCAACGTAGCACCAGAATCTGTAACAACGGCCTTAGAAACCAGGAAGGTCTAAGATAAGTACCTGAAATTACACAATGCCGATATTTGCATTTCATAGCCTGCAGGGAAATCCCCATCCACGAATTCCTCTAGGCAGAAACTCATCAGACTTCCCCCCTCGTAAAACATCGGGTTGGGAGGACCGGGGGGGGGGGGGGGGGGGGGGGGGGGGGGGGGACGCATATTAGAGCAAAATAAGGGAGAAGAAAGCCGTTCCGGCGTTGCCGCACACACACCGCCTCGTTAACAAGGCTGGATTTGCTGCGTCATTTTGTGGGGTCCTAAGACCGAAGCGATGCACGGCTAAACCACTCGCTAAATCCTCAGCGCCCCTGCCCGCACTCGAGAAATCATGGGAGTGGTGTTCCTTCGGCTACCTACTGATAGGTAATTTTGACCAATTCGACGGTTACACTCTTTTTGGGTGAAATCTAAAGTCATTCTGAATAAGCGTCGTGTAGGAGTTCAAACACTTGTCATGTCACTTTTAAAATTTCTCGTTATTGTCGGCGCTTTTAATACTGTGCACGCAATCCGCCCTTCTACCTGGCTTAGCTACAGAAATCACTTACAATGCTATCATTTTTGTGATTGTTGCTTTAGCAGGAATTGCTTAAAAAGCCGATACTTCATGACAACCAAAACCAGGAATCTGGCTATGAGTCAGCGGGGCTGTGTATGACATTTTTTGCGTTTCTAAGTTAATATCAGCGTCTTTGAAGTTCTACGAGCATGATAATATTGTAAGATTTTTCTGCAGCTCCACCAGGTTGAAAAGTGGACAGCACGCACAGTATAAAAAACGCTGACATTCAAGAGAAATTAAAAAAAAAAATATCACAGGTTTTTGGATTTTACACGACGCCTATTCAGGATAACTCCTGATTACGTTCAAAAGTGTGTAAGCATCGAATCGGTCCAAATTACTGATCTTTAGAGAATTGAAAGAACACCGTTCTCATGATTCCTCGAGTGCGGGCCGGGGCGCTCGGAGGATTTAGCAAATGGTCTACTGGACAAGAGCGAAGCGCCAGCGGTCGGCCGGGACTCACGCCTCTCGTCACTGATTAAACACGAATCACAGCCACACGCTGGCGCAGCACCTGTGGTAAATCCGCGCACGTAATGCACTGGGCCTCCCATGGATGACGTAAACAATCAGGCACTACAGCCTTATTATTTAGAAGACGCTGGCCGAACTGTCTGGGGAGGAGGTGGCAGAGTGTGGTCGGGAAGAAAACACGCCAAAATAGAAAGGGTAAAGTGTACGCAATACATAAACGCACGTCCAGAGTTGGCACGTATACGTCCTGGCTTCCCTAATACGTCTACAGTTTCTTTGTATAATTCCACCGTTCCCTCATAAATTTTGCGCCGCAGAATAAGAGAACATCCACCACGTGTTCCGGATCATTCTGCCGAGCAAGCTTCCGCGCAAAAAGCGCTTTAGACCGACGACCAACAAAGTTTTTAATATTTTTCTCTTTCTCTCGAGCTCAATTCGTTCTGTGGACCAATCGAGTTGAAGTGAGAAATATATGTTCAAAGGAGTAATCGTGATATTCATCAATCGCACGCGTATATAGTGATATAATTTACTTAATATGCATCTAGACCTCGTCAGCATTTCACGTGCAGGCGCCAATACACGTCATTTCGGTCGTATCATAGATTGGCTAACGCTCAGATGGAAGCCGTAAACAATAAAAACAGATTGCAAAACCGGCCATCGCAGAAACAAACAAAGCCGAACCTTTTCCGGGCAAGATAGACTGAAAGCCTTTCTAAAAGTACAAACTAATATTCATAATAAAGACAAGTAGTCTACGGCGCATGTCTGAAAGAATTATATAAAACCATAAAAAAAAAAAAAAACAAGATTATAGAGCTTCAGAAAAGACGAAACGAAATTTCTGCTTAACCGAGTCTTTACTTTTTCCGGTTTCGGAAAAGTGAAATCCCGAAAGTGAAATTCCGAAGACAAACTGCGCAGATAAATTCGATAAATAAGGGAGCCAAAACTAGTTTTACCTTAAAACATAAAAGAGTGAAGACGCGCAGAGGACCCAATGCAGTGACCACGAAGCTTTGAAAAACGATGCGCCACCGCCGCTTCAATCTACCAACTTATGTTATCGTATTCCGAGACAACGCCGAGGACGCAGGGCTGAAAGAGATATCTGGCGCTTTTTAAAGCAGCCACCATCTTTCACATCCCATCGGCGTCCATTTTTGTTGTCTTCTTTCTTCATTCCAACGCTTGTCCCTTCACTCTATTCCCGCGTGATTTCGTGCACTGAAGCTTCAAGACTTTTTTTTTTTCTCTTGGATGTTTTCGAGAGCCACCAAGATTCAGCTTCTGACATAGATTATGCATGCACCCTGAAAGATTCGCTGGAATATTTACATTGTATTACTTCCTTCGGGAGAAGTTTTTACTCCATGAGAGGGAGTAAATATACCACCAATGGCGTGTCATCATTTCTAGGTTGAGAAGTTGTTGTTATCTAGTAAATTGATTTGTTTTCTGCTAAAATTTATATATTAATTTTTACTCAATTTGGGCAATTTAGTTAGGAAGAGATAACAAGGCGCAAGAAAGTTAACACGAATTAGCGATCGCAGTTTTTCTACAATTTGGTGATAAAGCGCGCAATAAAGGACATAAAAATGCAGAGCACAAGAGTAGCACTTATCTTTAACTTAACAGTTATTGAAACTACGTCCAACAAGGAAAACAACCACATCCTAAACGTTAACACGGGCTAAAAAAGGCGACGTATTTTGCATCTAAAAAAATCAAATATTGGCTTACGTATTTATCCCCTCCTTTCCTTCTTATCTCGTACGCTTTCAAAAGTTATCTGGTGGACTTATCGGTCCCCCTCCAAACAAAAAATCGCCATGTTGTTGAATTTTTGGCAGACCAAAGCGTTTTTCATTTGACAATTGAAATCCTGTCATGGAAACTTGGTAGTAGGATCGAATGCGAAGGCAACAACTTAGGTAATACAATTTACCATAGAGAATATCCCTGTCCGAGCAATAGAGAAAGGAGGGTCGATGTTGCGTTCAGGCTAATAACTGCTCCACGTAGTGAGGTGTTTTTTGCTAGTTTTGGCCTCCTTAGAGTAGCCATTGAAGTTATCGGACGAGTTCAGTGATTTTGAGATCACAAAATATCAGGTGATTTTGTTTTATACGCGTTCTTGTGTTAGTTCCCATTAATTAACGTAACAAATTTGAACAAAATATTTTATTTTATTTAAAATGCATAAAAGTTGTTTTCCTTGAGCAAATATTTTTGTTTTGCTTAGTCGCTTAAGTTATGGATTCTCAAGGTATAGAACGTAACCTCAATATCCTCCATTAATTGCCGACACTATTTACAAGTGACCAACCTTCGCATAGAATCCAAACTGCACGTCTTGCCTAGATACTCTAACCTCATATAAATAATAGACTGTACAGACGACGTCCAACACATTTCTATACAAGCGAAATTCACCAAGTCTAATAATTAGACACTGAAACATGTTTGAAACCGCCTGTCCTTGCCCGCATCAATGTAGAGTTGGGCACAACAGACGAACAATAGGACATTTATGTCTATCCACGTGTGTGATAGACATTTTGGTCTTTAACACTACCTTTCTGCGCATGCGCGCTGAAGGCATTGCCAGGCACGATGGCACGTCTATGCGGCGAGACACGAAGCAACGAATATTTCGTTGGTTTGCCTCGTTTTGCTTTAATCCAACAGCGCATAAACTACGCTATGAAATATTATAGTATGATAAAAAAAGGTCAGTGTTTACTATAGTCCTGAAATTTTGTTTGAAAATCCAAACGAAAGGCTAACTTAAAAACAAATCGAAACATAAATAAAAAATCTATCCGAAAAGCGCGAAAGTTTTTGAAGTAAGGGGATAAAGATATCAACTCCTCCATGCCAAACAGAGAACCCCCTTTCTTATCCCTTCTCTAAATCCGGCTTTAACATAAAACCTGAAAGAAAAAAAAATATTGAGAAGTGAAACGTCTCAAATAAAAAAGGAAGAAAAAAATATAAATATCGCGGCAGAAACTAAAAAAAAAAGAAAAAAAAACTTTGAAAAGTTTGAACCGATTTCCGATATCGACGCGGATTTACAGCTCTATTTCATAGGCTTCGTGAGTCTGCTTTTTTTCTTTTACTTTTTTTTCTACTTATTCATACTCTCAAAGTATTTGAAAAGCTGACGGATTCAACGCCATTAGAAGCTTGCCGCCCGTGGACGGGTATATATGTGAAGAAAAAAGTTTTTCTGAGGGAGCACAAACTCGTTCCGTAGCACCCAAGAAAACGGTGAGCACAGATTTTATGCAAAGTTACTTCTTTCTGGCCTTTATTTATATTCTTTTTCAAGATAAAACATACTTTGCTGCCTTCAACTGGCGTTTATCTTCCATCAAATAATCGCCTTTTACTAACGAACAAAGAGAAGCTAAAAAAATATTAATCACTACAACGTCCTTTATTGTAAAAAAAAAAAGTAAATTGCAGTAAGATGTATCGATCACGAGTCAATTTTTGTTTCCACGTGGTTTAATAGGCCACTTCACAATCGACCAAAGTACGTTTACATTACGGAATAATATTACGCACTCACAAAACTCGTTCGTCAATAGACCTTAGCATCAAAGGAAAAAAAGTTGCTTGAAGGGACTTTTTTACACGTCAGCTGCATACACCCAAGCACCATCCCCAGATAATACAGAAAAAACACACCTCCATATCAACATTTATTTATCTAAGCCAAAGTGTCAACAGCGAGCCGTGACAAGCGATGCCTCTAAAGAAGCAATGCCACGAAACATTACAGAAGCCAGCCAAAAGCTGATTTACTTTTGTCAGACAATCACGGGTATTGTGGTTTCACTTAGCGATGCTCTAGTCAGTTTCACTTTAGGGCCAAACGTAGTCGAAGCTACACGTCTGATCTGGTCAATAATGCAGCGCCCAAAAGTGTATCGTCACTACGTTCATTGCCTTTGTGCGTTTTACGATTACAGGCAAATATATGCGTGGCTAGAGAGAGAAAGAGCGAGAGTTAAGAAGAGAGAGAGATGGAGAGGTACTAAATTACGTGATAATGCTCACGAAGTCATCAATTAACGATTGGGTAAAACCTGTTTGTCTTTATCAGTGGGAGAACAAGTCGTGCGCGATTACCCAAGTCGAAGTCTTATCTCGTAAAGGAGCCTTGCTTTCTTTTCTTTTTCTTTTCCTCATAAATCAGACCGTGCCAACAAAAGATTCCTTCAAAAAATATGAGCGGCGCTACGGATCTCTGAAACGAGCCCTCGCTTTATATAGCCCTATAGATCATCGTTATCGGAGCCCGAAGCCAATACCTTAAAGATAACGAACGGCAGTTTCCTACCCCCGAAAGGAAGATGCATTGTTTGTCGAGGTTTCCCAACTTTGGCTATCGCCCAAAATACTGTCTATCTCTTCAAAATATGACTGTGACGTAAGAAGCGGCTTGACACATTTCGCCACCGGGGGGCGCTGGAAACCGCCCAGACGTGAAGCGAGGTGTGTTTACAGATAGCGCGTTCCTCTTGATCACCATAGACTATAAAGAGCACTCGAGGCATGGAGGTTTCAATCGCTAGGTGGCGTAACAACCTGGAGTTCTCTAGACTTTCTTAGAGCTGTGGTCCGTTTTTAATAAGTAACAACAGCCACCAGGCATAATAACGCACATTTTAACGAAGAAAGAATATGGCGACTTCAAGTCAATTCTGCTACAGAATGCTACCATTTTGGTTAACCGGAATATTTGAATCAGTCGACACAACCGAAACAAAAAAAAAATGTTCACATCTGTAAATAGCTTCGATAATATGTCTTTACTTTCAACAATTTGCAAATTTCAATCGTTTCTCGAAAGTAGCCGATCAATCTGAATTACAAATAGGTTTGAAAGACGTAATATCATTTTGTATAAGTAAGGTAGAGACTATTCTGTCACAATATTTCGTGAGGTGCCCACTGATTTATCCAAGGCACAGGCGTAGGAGCATAGCTTTATCTTTCATGCCAAGTTACCCAAACTCTCGCACTCAAAAGTCGCACAACTCAGAACTTAAAAGTCGCCAAACCTCGCCCAACTTACAACACTTCTGCAACTCTAAAGTACCTTGCATAGTCATGTGCTCACGTGCGGGAGTGCCTTAGCACTACAAAGCACATTTGATATGGATCGCATTAGGCTTCTAAGCCAACACTCCTCTAAACATACCGAGTGATTACTTCCTAGTTCTTGATGCTGTTATTGTTTTTTTTTTTTTTTTTTATCGCAACCAAAACATTATCGGTTATCTAAAGAACGGTATCAACCCAGTATAAGAATTTATGATCCACACTGTCACTGTAGTTTTCTTATTATCCTGCCCCAGAATCACAACTTCTAAAGAAATTTCAGAACAAACTATACTTCGTTTCAGCTTCGGTCCGAGCGCGGCCGATGTTATGAGCCAAAGGGCCAATCAAACAGCGCGAAAAGCGCACCGTCATGGCGTGCTCTCAGCGCTTGATAGGACTAGCCGACGGAGGAGCGCGCACAGAGAGACAGCGAATAGCGGCTGGTCCTATCAACTGAAGAGAGCACGCCATGACGTTGCGCCTCTTTGGCTGTTTGATTGGCCCTTCGGCTCATAACATTGGCCGCGCTCGGACCGAAGCTGAAACAAAGTATAGGCACTCGGCGAAGCCTACGCGAGGCAAGCATAACGGTTGAACGAGCCACGTGACAACGTATCCTAACAGTACAGCCCGCATCACTCCGCCACCCATAATGGCTCACGATGATGTCGCCTCCTTCACCCTTTGCCAAATCACGCTAAAACGAAGTAGAGCTCTCCTTATCCGGTTCTTTATCTTCGTGCTTCATAAAAAAAAAGGTTCAGCTGTTCACATAAACAAGATGAACCACCTAGTTCAAATCCCGAGACGAAGTAGAGCATTGCATAAACGCACTTCTAAACAGCAAATACATATATGCAAGCTCACTACACTAGCGCAAAAAACAAAAAAATACGCAGAATTGCATAAGAAACGAGTCGACTTGTCTCCAACCAAAAACTAAAAACAAAAAGACCTTACGTAATTTTTGTTTTTCCATCCAAGCTCCAAGGTAAGAAAAGCGAATAATAGCTTTCTCGAGGCCATCTAGCTCACGATGCTGCATTAAGCGGGGAATCCCGGCGTACTACGTTAAGTCAAGCGAATACGGGACTCCCGGGACCTCGCAAATCCCGGAGTCGTGCCCGTCGCGGCGATGACGCAACCGTGGAGCCGGCTCCCGCGAACCCGGCGTTATTTACGCGTCTGCACTACGCCCGACCTCGTAACGACGGAGCGCAGTGGAAGCTACGAACCATCGGAACAAATCCAATGCCGCGTAGGTATCACGTGATTTTCGGGGAGGGGCCACGTCGACGTACAGGGGCCCAGACTCTCCTATAGACGCCTTTCCGTTTCCTCTCGTTCTCAGTTACGGGGGTTTCGTATCTGGTATGCGGGACGAAAAAAATAGCAAAACATTTCAACCAAAACATTTCGTAAAACATTCCCAGCGTCATGGAGAGATCAAAACGATGTTCTATCGCATACTAGAAGTGACGGCATTCAAGATAGCTGCGCGCTTGTGGAAAAGGTGCATACTCCGTTTCGTATTAAGACCGATCGCAGACAACGCAATGATCTGACGCTGGAGCCGATCTAGCAGCGCCACAAATGCATCCTCATGCCGCTCGTCGTCCTGGTAGGTTTCGCGGTCACCGGACAAAAAACACAATCACACACAGTGAGTGCACCGTGGTTCTACACTATTTTTTGTGCGTGACCGGTTGAGCAGGCCACAGCAAACGCGCAAAGACGACGAGAGTACCGTGACAATAAACTTTTGGCACCGCTCGATTGGCCTCCATTAAATCATAGCATCTACTGCGCTCGGGCCTATAGAGTGAAACCTAGTGTAGACGCTTGCAGGCACGCGCCTCTGGGCGCCGCCATCTTGCCACCGGTGCGGGTGGATCGTCCGATAGCCAAGCATTGCTGAGGCGTCCCCACGACCTCGGTAATGCTTGACTACCAGACGATCTACCCACCCCAGCAGCAACATGGCGGCGCACATAGGAGCTTACTTGCACAACTTCTATGAGGAGAGCAAGTTCGTCTGCTTCTTTTTGCATAGGTTGTGGTGACGTCACAACGTCGAGCTCGATTGGCTCTGATTGAAGAATAGTGGGTAGACCTCAAGGCAGCTTGCTTCGAGGTCTACCCACTATCCTTCAATCAGAGTTAATCAAAGCTCGACGTTCTGACGTCACCACAGCCCCCGCAAAAGAAGCAGACAAACTTGCGCTCCGTATACGAACTGTCGGCGAGTCGGGTAGTGAGGTGGTACCTATACATAACCGTCACGTGACACGTGCAAAGGAAGGGATTGGCTGGACGGCTCGTAGCGTCCGCAGCGGTCCATCGTGAAGTGGAACTCGGTGGTGCGAGGTCGTAATCCAAGAGCGCTCCCCGCCGGCCCTCATTCGCAATCCGGGCCCGCGGCGCTCAGTAATGAACGGTTGCCGCACCAACCGCTCCGTGCCGTCCCCGGTCGGCTTGAAATGCGATCGAAACTTTCGTCGGCGGTTACGTTTCGGAGCGATTAAATACCGCCGAAGTTGCTGCGCGCGATTAAGGCGTCCGAATCGGTCTACAATCGGCCATGTCACCGGCAAACTTTTGATCCGGGGAATC